TGTTGAGTGGCGCAGGAAGCGGAGCTCACCGCGATGCTGCTCTGTAGCAGATAGCATTGGGTTCTTTTTGTTTGTAATGGGGGCAATGTCCCAGATAAGCAGGCCGGAGTCGGAATGCATTGCGTGCTCATGGAAGTGGTCACCTCCGTTTCCATCGTGAACCAGGGACTGGACGTGGACTTGAGTTAGCTTCGACGATGCAGGACGAGGCGTGAGCCAAGGGGAAATTACAAAGTTGGGCTTCGTTGGGCCGTCATTCATTCGCGCAATGCCTTCTTGGAAAATTAAGGGGGCATGGCTGTACCTACGTTCGTGGCAAGGCGTTTGTCTGCCTTGTCGACAGCGCCCACGATGATTGCTGGGAACGGGCAGGTGAAGACAATTCAGCGGGCGGTGATGGAAGAGCAGCATGATGTGACGGAACTCAGGCGTGGCTTGCAATGGATGCCACCTGTCGCCTAAGGCAAACCTGGTGTGCCACCTGACAACTCAGTGCGTACGGCAGTGGTGCGCGACGTGAACGATTTAGGATCTCGTGGTCTACCTGGACACTCTGATGATTGTGCCTACCTGCTCTACCTACCTATCTGACCTACCTCTCTTATTTTGACAGCTATGTGACGGAGACTAGGTAGTCCCGCAGCAATATCCGGCTAGCTGAGTATTAATCTCGGCCAGTCGTCGAACAGAAGCAAGAGGAATGGACAAGCCGCTTATTGATGGAGAAGCTGGCCAATGGTAAAATTTGGGTTGTCGAGGTCCGCTACAAGCCGCGTGTCTACTTGTATATCTGCAGTAATGGGTTGTTCATATTCGTGGCGGGTTCTCTGCGTGGTTCCAAGTTGCAATCGGTTTGGCGAGAAACACAGGAACCTCGATGGCTGGAGCTGAGTGATGACGTAGTAGTATTCAGTGGATTGTAGCGCCCCGCTTTTCACCAACTTGCCGCTTGCCCCCCCGCACGAGCAAGTTCCTGATCAGCTCCCAAGCAAATTCACTGATTTCGAGGTATAAGCCATAGGTATCTTTTTTCTAAAGAATTTAGCGTGAGGAAACAATGTTGGAATTGAACTGACAAGACATTGAAGGAACGTTTTTGGTGCCTCGAAGGATATGGTGTTGCCGCTGCTGGAAGACTTGTATGACTGCTCAATGCATTTGACTCTGACCCAACTCGAACAACATATGTCATGAAGCAACAAAGTAATGGAGCAATGACGGAGTGACGCCAACTCCCGGTTTGCTGCGGCAGAACCCATTTAAGCATCCCAAGACCATACACGCGCAGCAAGGGCCGGCCAATCGGCTTGGGCCAATTCAATTCTTCTTCATGCTCCTTGAAAGAGGGAAGAAACTTGAATATAACCACACCTCACAGTCACATCGTACCGGACGCGTACCCTGCTGAGACCCTGTTCGTCCTATTTCTTGTCTGCACGGCCGGCCTTCCATCCTCTGCTTCAAAACTCGCAAAAGCCCCGCGTTTCCTACCTCATGCCCTGACTGTTACGCCAACTCCCAACATCTCTAGTGAAGAATCATCATAGCAGCCGACCGCCGAGATGGATCGCTTTCATCAAAGTGGGTGCCGCGATTCAACAACCCTGCTGGGCCATACTTACCATCGCCTTCTTAGTGAATCCCTTTGCGAAGAGAGACTCGCACAGCGCGAGGTCGGTCGTCTGGTACAAAATTCTGACGCTGGCCAGCTGGGTGCTGTCCGTCGTCGTCACCGTCTACTACACGTTTGAAGCGCCAAATGATGGCAAGTACCATCATGACACTATCTGGGGCCAGAACCACCGTCACCCGTCGGGGTTCTCTCTCAACTCGCTCATCACGTCTATCTACTGGTTTGTGCCCCCTTTTCTTTTCTTTTTCCCGACCCATCCAGCCTCCATCAAGCTGACACCGGGCGTACCCAGGATCGTCCTCTTCATCCTCCAGCTCGGCTACATCTCGCACCTTTTCTCGTCCAAGACGGAATCTATCAACGCAGCATGTTCCGTCGGAAGCCGTACGTTTAGCCTCCCTCCTTTTTCCCAAAAAAAAAAAAAAAAAGCTTTAAATAGCAAAGACGCGCAGTCATTTAAGATATAGAGAAGGAGAACCCCCTACTGACAAGACGTGGACGAAACAGACTTCATCGTCAACAACTTGCTGCACTTCGCCTTCGTCATGCTCTTCGTCCGCTCGCACTTTGTCTGGGCCGAGATCCTACTGCTACTCAACTTTGCCAACCTAACCTCGCTCTACTTCCGGCACAGCGCGCACCCGCGCCTCGTCCACCTGCCCGCCGTTTCGGGCCCGCTCGCCTGGACCTTTGTGGCCATCTACTGGAACGGTGCTATCATGGTGCCGCACCAGAACAGTCTCGTTGCACGCATCTTTGCCAACATCTTCGTCTGGTCCATCCTCGGATACGGCCTGTTTTTTATCGTCATTTACAAGGTGCGTTTTCTCTATGCTCTTTTATTTTCTCGGCAAACGCATATTCCTGTTGCTAACTTCCTCGGATGCAGGACTACACCATGGGCCTCGCACTCAGCGTGCTGTCAGCATCGCTCGGCGTCGCCCAGTTCCTTCGGCAGATCATCGCGCTGCAGTGGATTTTTGCTTTCACTATCATGGCCGTGCTCTTCGTCCTGACCGTCCTCGTGGCTGTCCCCGCCTGGACAGGCAGGCAGGGACCCTGGGGCGGCAGCGCCGAGAGGCAGCAGGCCGATGCCGAGCGTGCCCCCTTGCTTAGCGGGTAAGGGAGTTACATCAGTTGGTTCAACCAGAAGTGCATAGCTGGAGAAGAAGGTGGGTGTTGAGAAAACAAAAAAAGGCTGTTGCGGAGAGGTAATCTCAGTCTCGCTAGAAGAAATAAGAATGGTAAATATGGACCAGATTGTCTTGCAGGGTATTCAGGCGTCTCCTTTTTTTTTCGTTTATTATCATTTCATGGTCTCTTGTTTCGCATGGTTTGGTCATTTGGATGGCATCTGAAAGGATTGACTTGTAACATTGTCAGTCGCAACAGTCCCGAGACATTACAGTGATAACTATCACTATAGTGTTTAATTGAGAGTTGAACCTAGGGACATCTGGCATATTCTCTCAATTTCTTGTGCCGAGACTTGAAATTGTCCTCTGTCGTTCGAAGACATTTCAACCACTCGCCCAACAAAGCAAGAGAGAGTCTATTCTGAGCTGGCTTATTCGAGAGCCGTGGCAGGGTTGGGTGTTTTGAGCAGGCCAACCCTCGCATGGTGGGGCACTTTTTAGCCCTTGCAGTTCAACAGCCCGTTCCTGTACCGTACCCGCAGTGCGCACCGGCAGTCCGTTGTCGGCTTGGTTACCTTAGATATTTACCTGTCACAACACAACATTGCAAATTCCCTACCAAAGCTCATTCCGGGCGTTTGACTACAATGCCGCCCCCATTACCCTTTCCCTACCCCCTCCGCATAGGTACCGACATCTGCCGTGTGGCGCGCATCGCGCATATCCTGCGCAGTCGGCAGGGTGCCCGCTTCATCCGGCGCGTGTTGGCGCCGGAGGAGCTGGCCTGCGCCAGACCGGCCATTCATCAAGTCTTGAAGGCCGCCGGTGCACAAAGTGGCGCGGTGAATGGGAACGGGGAGGCGCGAGAGAGCTCAGTGGTGAGGGAGGGGTTAATCACGGGGCAGGCGGGTAGGAGGGCGGATGGGGATGTGAGGGCTGGTCGTCATGAGAATGATGGAGAGAAGCTGATTGGCATTGATGGCCGCGATGTGGATGAGGTTGGGCAAGAGCCGAACACTGAGAGCGAAGAGCAGGTCATATATGGACGTGCAGCTACGTACATGGCCGGACGGTGAGTTCTGCCACTGGATCGCGGAACGAGTAGCAGTTGGCTGATGGGGGCGGTGGTCGGTCTAGGTTCGCGGCAAAGGAGGCAGCGTTCAAAGCGCATCCGCATCTCAGGCTAGGGTTCCATGACATAGTCATCTTATCGTCTGCCGACGCCGAGGAGTTGACCGGGGAGAAAGCCCCGGCCGGTCCGGGTGCTTCGGCACCGGTCGCCTTAATTCGGGCCGGGAACGGAGGGGCGAGCAGGGACCAGATGGCGAGGGTCAGCATCAGCCACGACGGTGAATACGCGACTGCGATGTGCATGGGCTTTGAAGTGGACGCGGAGGGTTAGCGACATAGCACAAAGCTGCCGAGGAGAGGCTGGTTCTCCAGTGTTTCAAGGATGTGGTCATGACCAGGTCGGGCGCAGCGAGACCTAATTTTGCTGGGATGCTACAATCGCCTGGAGGGTCTTGATGGCGAAACCTGACGATAGCCCAACTCACTGATTTTAGGGCTATGTTGGCTAACCAGAAGCCGGTAGAGGGGATGCAGGTATGGCACCGGACCCGAGGATATCTGCCCCACTCGGTGCTTGGCGGTTTGCTTTATAGGATTAGGATCAAACAATCTCCCTCAAAACCAGCAGCTCCGCGGGTTCTGTCCAACGAAGTTGTTCTAGGGTCGGGTGGCGCAACGGTAGCGTGTGGTCCTCCTATCCAGAAGGAATCAGACTGAGGTTGTGGGTTCGAGTCCCACCTCGATCGGCCTTAGCTTTTGCTCACAGTTCCCCTGAACTTCAGAGCCAGAGCATTTTTTTGCGTATCCCCCCTGAACTGGTTTCCAGATTTTTAGCTCGTCCTCTGAACTAGCTTTCCCATATTTTCGCTTCCTTCAAACACATTTTCTATGTTGGCAAAGTTGTTGTAGTCGAACTAACCACATGAATCTGAGTACGATCTTATTGAATTTGTCTTTAACTTTAGCTAGTTGATACATTCCAGCATCTTCTCTTCGTCATGGTTACTTTAACCAATCTATAAGTGGTAGGAAATAGCGTTATACCGCTAGGGGCCTCCGAATTCAAAAAAAGATGGAACATGTACTTGGGGACGGGAGATAAAACTGGGTGCTAGCAACGACAAAGAAAAAGAAGCGCACTTGGTACTTGATCATTATCTCGATCCACCCAGGGGTCGAACCTGGAACCTCCTGATTACCCGACCAACTCTGAGATCCTCAGAGAAGGAATCGTAGTCAGACGCTCTGCCATTGAGCCAGCGGACCTGTTGGAAAAGTCGGCAAACAATGTGGGTTTATAAGATTGCTGGTGACAGCTGTGTGGTGGGGATATGCAGGATCCACGCCAGGGCTCGCTGGTTCCTCCGAAGATGGGGAGTGGAGATCGAAGCTCATGCTGACGTTATGGATAAAGGGAGTTCGTTCCCCCTGGATTGCCCCTGGGATTAATGTTTACCTAACTCCCTAGCAACCAAAGCAGTAGCACAGATATGTACAGACAAGCAATAATCTCTTATAGAGAGACTGTATTCGAGGAGGAAGGAATCTTGCTTCGACCAATACTCTTCTGCGCATCCAATCCAGTAACTGAGGGCCAGACTACGAAAATGCCGACTAGTCAAGCTGAACTGACACAGGGCTGTTTATGAACACGATATTATCATGATGTCTTTCCAGCCCAAAGTGTACTGCACTTTTCTGACTGATCTGGTGTGAATGATACAGACAAATGAGTGTCTCAGCTTCAGAGCTTGTCTGCTGCATTCGCAGTTACTGGTGTTAATGTTTTGCCATGAGGCACCGAAAACATCAAGTTCTGTAAGTAATTGAAAGAGCGAAAATAAAAGAGATTTAATACCTCTGACGCGAAACACTTAGTCATTTCCTGGTCGAGGCGACAGCTGTTATAGGGGCGACCTTGTCTTCACTTTTGGCCCGCTATTCTACACTTTAACGACCTCCCCCAGGGTGATTCACCACCACAAGGCTTCGACAATTTCGGGGCAATCAACACCTTCAAAATGGCAGGTAGACTTCTATGTGAATCCAGACATGATTACTTGGGACCCACTAGGAAGAGAACCACTGCCGACGTCATTCGCACATCCTCCCATTTTCTGGAGTGCCACTTGACAGGCTCAAAGTCAGGCAACGTGATGTGTTGCCCCTGAACAACTCAATACCGTGACCCACGCCCCATCTGCACAGTCATTTTCCTAAGTTCATAGTTGAATACATGGTCGATCTGACAGTCAGCCACATGACTCCCACCTCATAACCGCAGCTGACTCTGGCCTTTTTCTATCATCCTCGGACCCCTGGATAAATACCCATTTCCAGTCCTCAGACAAACGAGCCGGTTTCTCTGGTTATACTGAGCGTTCAGACAATGTGCGAATGTGATAGCTACCTACAAGTGGTTCGCATGATCCTGGTGAATTTGCTCGATCACTACTGGCAGGGGTACGGCTGTGTAGTGAGTAGAAGAAATGCCAACGCGAAAAAGGAGCTCACCTCACTGAGGGTCATCAGTGTCTCATCTGACTGAGTGCTTCCTGGGTTCAGTGGTATGTAACGTTTCCTGCGCAATGGATATCTGGACTTCAAAAGATATGTACACTGCATCCGACTCCGAGTGAGAGTTCCCTCCCCTCCCGGCATTGGATACTCGTACATATCGTGTTGGTAAAACAACCGTTAAATGTTCACAATGTAGACCTGGCTGGCTTAACCGGCTCTGGATACCCTATGCTTGTGCCTCGAGCAACCATTCTATCTGGCTATAGCATACCGATTTGTCGAAAGTGTATGGCTGAGCGTCCACGTGGTGGACAGCAGAAAGAGTTATCGAAGTCAAGCTTCTGTCAAATAACCCAACTGTTCGGTTTCATTGTTCTAAGCTAATCGGCACGTCTTTTCGGCCTTCTGTTTGTTACCAGGCTCGCCAGCTATATGTTAAAGAAGCCCAAGTCCTTCTTAAAAAACGTTATATTGGGATGGCTCTCCGAGTCTTCATACTCAGAAGGTGGACGGTATCTCGACCTTGATTGGAACGAGAGTGGTAACCCAAGGATCGATCAAGCACTTGCTTTATCCCTCTCGTGATCCTGCTTGATTCGTATCTTCGATGAACTTCACACTCCTTCTCTTCTCGAAAGACACTCTTGCTTTGTCCGCTGGTAGCGATTCAGTCACGGCAAAGTTGAGCATCAGCCAACAACCTGCAGTAGAGGTAGTTCTCCATCCTGTTCTCAACTTCCTGATAAACCCTTACCCATTCCTTCTGCGTGCCTTCTGCCTCTCTTTTGTTTTTCTTCCTTATGCTGGACTGGAAGTCAGGAAATCCATTCTGTATAGAGCGAATAGACAGGCATAGAACTCTCCTTCAATAATCCCATGTGAGCCATGAATGCTCATTCGCTTCTTGACCTTGATCCAACCACAGCTCACTCGATATTGGTGCGACCCAGTGTACCATGTTTGGTTGGAATACACCACCGAGGCTCGACTCTTCCTGACATATGTTCCCCGATGAACATTACGGGAATCCGAGCAAATGTTTTGTGACGAACGGCCTCTGTACACCCCGTGGGAATGAGTATCAGCTTGCATTTTTAAGCTATCACATTCCACGCCTGATCCAGCTATCTTACCCACTCCTCATATCGCTGCTAACCTCCTCTTGGTGTCGTATTGGAGTCCTGAGCAGCTAAGCTGCAGCCGTAAGGAGCCGGTGCTCCAAGCCTCGTCTCGGTTCTCGTGTCTGACTGTGACATCTAGTAGTTGAGGGGTGTTGGTATGCGTCTGAAGAGTCCACTTCGTTTCAGGTGTCGAGAGTCTTGGTAGTCTAGCTGGAAACCCGCCGTCCATATCGCTTTGTGGCTTATCGCCAACAACCAAGTCGTCCCTCTCTCTTTCCGATCCGCACCCCTGAGCCATTTCTCTTTCTTGGTTGAATCGCCCCGGGTAACTATCACAATCGGTTGATAGGCAAGATCGGTGACTGTTGACTTAAATCTGCATGGCGGTCGGGCAAGCGACACTCTCATATCAACAGTATGAAGCAGAGCGGAGACAACACCTGTTCTTATACCTCACTATCTCGGTCCTAGTCACGGTTGGCACACCGCCCCTTGTTCTCCTACATGGCTTCCTTCTGACAACACGTCATCAATACAAGACATATCCGCTTCTTCAACCATCACAGGCTCGCAACAAATGGTTTAGCCAGATTCTGTCTAGTCCGGCGTCGAGGCTATGGCTGTCTGAGCTTGAGTGTTGAAAAAAAGCAAAAAGCCGCGAGGCTAGGACGGATGCCATTTCAGCCTGCAAGGCTGACGAGAAGCAAGCAGGCACAAGGCATAGTCGCACAGAATACCATGAACTACCCGGCCTATCTTCAGATTGGGCTTGAAAGCAAGCAACAGCCGAGTGAGGACCTCGCCGTCTCGCAGGCTCTTGTCAGGCCAACAGAACTTACCGCGCTCTCATCTCGCCACTTCGGACCTCCTAGTCCCGCCCCGGCCGATGTTAGAGATTGGCTTAAGCCTAAAGCCTCACACGGAGGCAATATAGTCACCATCAAACAATAGTAGACGCCGTGCCGTGCCACAATGATGGCGAGTGCGTGAGTGAGACAGGCAGTCGGCCTTTCCTCCCCCCCCCCCCTTCCTCTGAGACGACAACAAGAGCAGAGTAGTAGAAGCGTGATACAGTACAATCCCGTACCTGCATGCCAACCAACCAACAAGGGAAACCTTCTCGAAGCTCGATCGCGAAGGCAGGAAGGCGCATCAACGGCCGAGCGTCAAGCTAATCACATACCTGTCCTCTTTCGAACCATGTTCTTGGGTCAAACCGGTGGTTCTTGCATCAACGTCCAGTAAACTCGTTCCTCTTCTCTGGTCCATACGCACCTCACGATACATGCCGGTGCCATGCCGAGCTGCATCCGAACAGATCGGACAGACAGGTCGTGCACTTGCATGGTTCGGCATCTGGCCTGCATACACATCCGCCTGGTAAGCGGTGATGCATGCGGCTAGTATTCAAACGTCCTCGTCCTTTCCATTCTGAGTCCGCCTAGGCTGGAGGGAGGGGGGTGTGATTTGCACTTGCTGCCTGCCGCAGCCATCCAGCCGCCCTGGGGTTACAGTCCGGTAGCTTCCAAGGAATGGGCAAGGAGAAGATCAAGAAGGAAGAATAGACGGTAACAACAATGCGGAGGGACAAGAGCGATGCGACAGTAGAGATCCTCAGACCGGTGTGACCCTGTGGAGGACGCGGCAGACATGATCGCCCTCCGTATCGCCACCAGATCAGATGAAGAAATCGATGCCGGTCCACCGCTCGGTCTCTGGAAGAAAGAGAATGGAACCGTTCGGCGATACCGTACGTCGTCCAGTCTACGGTACGCCACGGTCGATGAAGGTCCCTCCGCAACTTCCCGCTCCATCCCCTGCGACCCAAACTCATGGAAAGAGGGTAGTAGTGTGGCTGGCTGCGATTGGATCGGCATCTAGACATCCAAAACACGGATATCTCCTGGGCACGTCGTGTGTGGCTGTCGAACTCTTGATCTAGAGCCCCGGCGGATTTAGCAGCCGCCCGTTTCTGACCGGATAGGGACTTATAGGGGCTATATGTAGCCAGCACTTGCTTGAGGCCGGTCCGTACAACCTCTCGTTCGCCGGGAGAAATCAAGGCAAAACCCGTTGTATAGAGCTGAGGGAGGCGTGTAAGAAAAAAAAATTACGAGATGTCTTCTGGAGCGAACACGGCACAAGGCCCGGAGAAAACGGGGCGGGAGCTTGCTTGACTGTCGCCCCATATCGAGGAGGCACTGACTTCTTGCGCGGAAACGGTCAAAGATCAAGTTTCCGAAACAAACGCTGCTCTGCACTCCCCCCGATGAGCCACAAGTCTGCAGGTGTGGTCGAGTGCATAGCGGGCACGACGGAGCCTCTCCTTTGGACGTCGCATTTGGGGTAGATGCTTGGACGACAAGCAGCGTGATCCAGTATTGCCACGAGAACGGTATGTTGGCTTCTAGAACAATGCCCAAGAAACCGAGCTGAGGCCATCCTAGCAGTTTTCATGTGTTCATCATGCGGCAGGCAAGATTGTACGTGTCCACTGGTTCGGCGATGTAATCCCTGAAACAGCAAAGAAATAACGTTATTCGGGCCGCCATTTACTTCATGCATCGTTCAAAGATGGGCTCCCTGAAGAGCAACGTAGTTCGGACGAAGAGAGTGTTCATTAAC